AAGCTTTATTTGGGAGATGCAGAGGTCTATCTGAAGACATTTGACGTAGAGATGATAATTGATAACTGGGGTAATGATGTATCTAATAATTAAAGATACAAATCTGAATTCAGATACAGATTCCTCAAGCAGAGGCGGAGACACCGAGAGTTTCTATAAACTAAAAATCTAAAAAATACGAAACCATTGGGTTATTGGGTATTTTGAACATTTAATGACTACTTATAACTATTTTATTGTTGAATTATTATTACTATGTTTAACTTACATTATCATTAAGAAACTCTTTAAATAATATAAAATACCTCTAGAGCCACTTTATTTTAAATACATACAATGCAATTGCACTTTGTTAAGACTAACAAGGATGCTCTAAAATAAAAAAATTAAAAATACTACTACTCCAATTACTTGTTGAGACTATTTATGGTAAATTATTGAAATCGTATTAATAGATCAAGTAAAGAAATCCTATTTTTTTAAATTAATTGAAGTAGCTGATAACAGTGATGCATGATAAAAAGTATCGATAACTTGAAAATCATTTTTTGAATAAAATACCGGTTTTAAAGCTTTCACGCCCAGTGCTAATATTTAAAGCACCATGCTTTTTCGAGTTGGTATGCCGAGGCCTTTGACCTGCCCGTGCCCTTGTTCTCCGGCTAAGCTCTGTGGGGGGTGGAACAGCTATTACAGAAATGTTTAAAATATCGAAATAGTACCTAAGCGCATTCCTGAAGTCGTACAAAAATGATGAAACTAGATCCTACATACAGCTGTTTAAATAATAAAATATTTATAGTCAATGTTTGAATATGGCAAGTATAGCATTTGCTTAACAAAAGCAACATATTTTTAGAGGTACCATACATTTCTCACAATAATAACAATAAATGTCTATTTTAATTATAGTTCTAGTTATTTAGGTATATGTTTAACATAAACCATGTGTGCTGGACTTTGTCACTTTTCACGGACGTTGATGTCCGTTCCAAATATTTTTTTAACAACTGGAATTGATGCAGTGGTGCCTTTACTTACGTCCTTGAAGACGTGTTAAATGTTAAATATAAATCAAACTCTGTACAGTTAAATATTTAAGCTCAAATTTATGTTATTACCCAAAATTCACATTAATAAATACCTACATGGTCATATTATGATTTATGATTAATAGAATAATATAGTTCTACTAAAGAGAAAATACAAAAGCCTGATCATTTTTTAATACAGTAGCTACGAGTATTTGAGAGTGCAGTACCTAATCATTGTAAATTAAAGTTCAATGTTATGCACATTAATAGCCAAATTCCCTTTAAAAACCCAAAATATTATAATAATCTAACAAGAGACACTATTAACTATTATTACAATTAAATCATAGATCTAGTAGTATTTTATATTTAGATCTATGAATTAAATACATATAAATGAATGTCAAATTCCTTGGCACAGTCTTTTTTAATACCTATTGCTTACATTTCCATAAATTATTTCAACATTCAATTTAAAGCTATGCGATTAATTAACCTTAATTTGTTTGTAAAAAATGCATTAATAATATGGAATTATGGGTGATAGAGCTTTTATAAAGCCTACGTAAGTAGGTATCATCGCACTCATTTACCATACATATTTATGTATGTATAGTAAAAATTGACCAATGTTAATATTTACAGCGAATAGTATAATTAATTGTAGGTATTATATTTAACTTATCTAAGTTTTTCTTAATTTCCATTTAAAGGAGGATGGAAATCTAATGTTAATTCTATATTATATTTATATGAGCGGAAATAGTGTTTAACTAGGTAGTAAACATAATTACGAAAGTAATTCTATATCGAATAAGCTAGCAACACCTGATTAGATATTAGATATAACTGAATCTCAGATAGCAAAAAAAACATCAAAACAATGTGGAAATACCTAAATACCGTCAAAAATCCTTGGTAATTACCAGAAAACATGACATGTAGTTTATTGTTTTTGTGAAACGTACTTTATATCTGGATTTAGATATCTACAATAACGAATTACTGCAAACGTTGCGAAATAAGTTTTTACAGGTAACCAAGTTGGACTTCGCAAAACGTGTATTAAATGGGTAGTTGTGACCGTTCATGCAAATTTTATTTTTTTTACTAATCAAATACAGAACTAAAAAACGACAGTTCATAAATGATAAAAAAAAATGTACAAAAAAACTCACCTAACGTATTTCGTTGTGTGGATCAAATACCGAGTAACATATGTACACAAATGTAAACAGTAATGACTATACACACTAAAAAATAGTCTTAGGCTAATTATAGACTAACTACACACGTACTAAAATAGACATTTACATTTAAAAAACACTGATTTACTATATATAAAGCTTTTTTAACGTTAATATTAATAAAGCCATTTTCGTTTATTTTTAGGAAATGACATTAGAAAGTACCAGCCGGTATAACAGGAAATTACCAATTTTAGCGTTGTTCGTTGTTAGTGTTTTCGCTGAGACACCCTTTTTAAATTAATATCGCGTCTGCGGTCAGTTTTTACATTTGATTTTTGCAATATCAATATTATTATATGGCATACATTTTAAAAGGATATTTACTTGTTAGTTTGTCTAATATCTTAAGCAAATGTTATAAGCAAATGTTTGAAATATGTTGTGCCCTCTATTGGACAAAAACGGAACAGCGCAAACGTATTACAGGAATATAGGTAGTTCCCATTTCCTATATTCGAAATTTTTATTGTTATTAAATTTTAGATAAAATAAACATTTACTTTCAAACCTAAACCGATTATACGTTATGTCCGTAATTGGTCTTGCACCATTATTGGTAATTATAGATTTTATAACTTTGTTCTATCCTTGGTCGTCTTCTTCTTCTTGGTTATGATCATTGTTTTTTAATGAACAATGAACACCTAATAAAAAGAACTTCTGGTTTAGTAAAGGTCGTGTGACATTAGCCGTTTTCTTTTACTCATCATTTCGGAATCATAACGTGTTACGATCCGATGGAAACCAATCAGATTGCTAGATTTCGGATCGTAACGCGTTATGATTCCGAAATCATGAGTAAAAGAAATCGGCAATTATCAGCAGATGATCAGGTTTGTTTGATCCATCAAATTTTAAACCTACAAAAACATAATCCAGAGCAAAACACGCGGTTTGCCCACAAATGTCCCAGAAGGTATTGTGATCGATGCCCTGAAATCTGACATATGATGCATTTATCATTATTAATTACTGCATTTATTACTTTATTTTAACAATTAACTAAAATATCGCCCCGTTTGAGAGAACACGTTCTTAGTTCTGGTGGCGTCAACTCAACCGCGCCGCTACAAAATTTAAACTGCGTCTGCGTTTGTTGCATTGCATATAAGCAAGCCGTTTCGAATTCATGGCATGGCAGACCTACAAGTGATCAAAATATTTATAACTCGCCTTTCCTTCCGCTCTATGATAGTGCGAAATTCCACAAATCAAATAGTAATTTAAAATTCACCTTTTTTATTTACGTCACACTTTAGAAAATTGGTGCCACACTGGCATCTTTTATTCCCAAATAAAATGGCTTTAAACTCCGCCCTTGTTGGGCGGAGTTCCGAAACTAAAATTTTGAAAGTGAAAGTAGTGATTTTCTTATGTGAAGTCATATGAATGAGTAACTTATTTATTTACTGATATGTGTGAAGTGTACTGCACACACAGACACAGACCATTAACAAAGTGTACTGAACTGACTAAAACTAAAAACTAAAAACCTTTACCATATTCTTTCCATTCTGCATTGGGCTCCAAAAATGTGGTATCTGGTGGTATCTGTCTGGATACACTCTTGCCCCAGAATAGAAAACTACCTGTGCTCTTGCTATCAGAACAAAGTACCTTAGAACCCCCTTCATTTACAAAACAAATTTGGCCTCTGCCATAGATTGTAAAGGTAAGATCGATGGAAAAACGATTTATACAACTCAGGTTAGGTTACATTAATGTTTAGTACTTAAATATACATATTTTCATTAAATTTATTTAAATTCAATTTTAAATCGTCAGTCCATGTGAAATTGTTATCCGGCTCTAAGGGGCGGAGATTAAATATCTCCTATTTGGGAAAAATTTACATCACGCCTTATTGTATATATTTGATATTTGAAAACCTACTTGATTGAAGTTTTTTCTAGATTTGAGCATGTGGGCTGGAAATGATATATAAATGTAGCGTAGGTATTTAAAAATAGCGTATAAAGAGTACTTACATTTTTTATAATCGGAACTAAATAAATACTCTTGAAATGTGGATAACTTCTGTAAATAGCCAGTGTCAAAATTAAATGTATAAGTTTGCCATTTACTACCCGCGATTTGTGTTTCCAGAAAGTAACAGTGGAGTCGCCACAGTACAGGTTTGTCGTGGCAATCAAGTTAATGATTACATCCTTATAAAAATTTTGCCGATTCAAAGGACTATTACAAAGCAGAGGTGATTGAGCTGATATTTTGAGTGTTAAGCATTGAGTTTATAAGCAACGCTAACGAGTAAGTCATAGTAAACGCTAACACCCACAAATTTTGACGTTTGTAAGGCATCAGGTCCAGGAATCATATCCGACTAATTACCCTTTTATCATTACTGTTTATTACATTTATCATTTTTATTATTCGATTATAAGTTTAAGCCAAGAATTGCCTCCTTTTCTTAGACCCGACAGCATTGATCCTGTTTCGCCCTGGCAGCAGAGGGACTAACTTCCCTTAAACTGAACATAACTCGAAAATGTAGCTATTATTATTTTTTCATCATATATTTTTTATTTAATACTTTTTACAAAGTTAGAAATTCCATACTAAAAGGAAAGGAGAGCTAGTTTAAATTTCGAGAGTATCTCTACGTTATTGTACGGTAACGGGAAGAGGTGAAATAAAAAATAATATAGATATATTTATTAGTATTTCACATATTTTATAGAACAAAAAACATTAAAAATGTGAAAAAATGATTTATAAATTAAAAATATCTTCTAATTCACACTGATAGGACAAGTTGGCAAAATCACAATATGTTTGCAAAAAAGCATTGCACTTTGCCTCCAGTTGCGCATCACAGATAACTCTTTTTCTGTACAAACTACCCGATATTAAGCCAGAAGAACTGAAACAATTCGCTTTTTTTTTTAAGTTGATTATAAGAAGCACACATATGTCACGATAACATACAGTAATTAATTATTAATTCTATTAAATAGAAAATCAAGCTGGTCAGCCTTAAAAAAATACATAAGGAAGAAATTATGTACAGATTTTTTGTCGTTTAAACACTCATGACGAGTATAATACATTTATACAAACATTTATTTATAATATTCCTATTATTCATACGAATACTCTCAAATGAGTACGGTCCCTGAGCGAATTGATAACAATTATCTTACAATACTAACTTGGTTTGAGTATCGATTCGTTTTGTAAAAATTTACCTAAAGTATGTCTTCCAAAAAAAAATAATAAAATCCTTAACAGTGGACAAAGTTACAAAATTGCACTCTCACAACATTAAATCCTAATTAATGATATTTAGGTGTAGCCTAATATTTCATAGAGAAATTGATTATAAAGCTGGTAACTTATTTACTAAACTTAAAAAATAAATAAACTTTTTTTTAAAAAAATACTATAACATAAAAATAATTTTTTATCGTCCTTTTAATTTGCACCATTTTTCAACCAAATTGCAAAATAATCACATAAAAATTAATATCACGACTTTACGATAAAATTGGAAAAAGTTAGTCTGTTTCGTAGTCTGTGGGTCACCTCGCAGATATAATCACCGTTTCGACACTTAACAGTTCCCTCACTTTATCCGTGTATTTCACTAAGGCTATTTTCGAAGCACGGGTGTTTACTTTCTCACCAGCATTTAGAAATTGACAGCAATGCGCTTGTTCTAAGAAGTCCGACATTTTCAGTTCACGTAAAACGCATTTATAGTTCACGTTAGCACTGGACGTCGAGGGCGGGCATATTTGCCTTAGCAGAGCGTCTCTAGATTTTATCTTCAACAAGTTGGATAGGTCCTGAAGAAGGATCCATCGATCACTCGGTGATTCCCCCCTTAAAGTGTACAAGTTAGGTAAGAGACTTTCCGACATTTCAAATTCAATATCCTCCTCTTCGGATTCTGGATCTTGGTCCGGAATATCATCCATTATATTGTAACCAATGTCATCAATAGGATCTACAAAAAAATTAATATGGCAGTGTATCATTTTAAATACTGTGTGAAATGAATATAACAAAACTGTTTGTCTAACAGACAAATAAAATTTACAAACGAGGTATTCCTCAAGGAACAGTATTCAGGTCTACCTCAATTTCGTCTCAATATCAATGATTTACCAATTGTTTTAATATAAAATAATTTATTAATCTCAGATCAATAAAAGTGATTATAATTGTTTCCTATTTTCTTTAGGGAAGGTTTAATCTCGTAAAAAAACATAAAAATGTAACAACTTTTACCAAAAAAGGAGGCTGGACCGTAGGATATCCATGCAGGTGATGGTTCGCCCTCAATGTCATTTAAATGATTTTTCAGGAATTCTTTTGTTATTTCATCATTGGTTAAAGCTAACGGTGTTAAACCAGAATAGGTTGCCAGTGTGGGATCTGCACCATATGACAGAAGTAACCTTGCAATTTCTACAAAACCATTTTCTACTGCTTCATGAAGTGGCCTATAAAAAATATAAAAATATTTTAGTCAGCGTTCCTCCTTACCTTGTTCCTGAAAACTGGCTCGAGTAAAATACAGCTCAAATTTACATTCTCTGCAAATATTAGCTCTGTTCGCGGAGCTGTTCAAACTAGTTCGGGGTCAGTCAGAAGCAATCGTTTAGCTACTTCTTTTATGCTATGCTTGTGGGAAATAGCACAGAAAGTAGCTGGACGACTGCTTCTGACTGATCCCGAACAAATTTGAACGGCTCCACGAACAAAGCTATTAAATTGAAGGCATTTTGTCTTTTTTACAAATATTTGTAAAAATTTGTCTTCAAAAGTTAAGGCTCAACCATTGACATCCATTAGAAAATGGATCTATTACAAGTTTAAAAAGTTCAGACGAATTGCTTGCGCGCAGGTAGAATTTCATTCTGGGCATAAATACTATGTAACATCTATGTATAAACGTTGTACCTTACCACAGTATAAAACAAATCAGTATGGTAATATATGTAGATCAATTCACTATGAATAATTTTAATTATTTCTACATTATCTGTATTAGTAAAGTAATTTTCAGTTTTATTCGAAAGTAACTACCCACTATGCGTGAAAAGGTGTAAAAAAACAATTCCTCTAATAATTGTAAAAAATTTAAAAATCCTGTCGTATTCATAGATCTACAGAAGAGTGAAGAATCTACTCCTCTTCAATAGAGGTTTGTATTATGCTGTGCCACTATCGATAACTGCCTGATATAGAAAATTCAACCTGATGGTTTTGACTCGAAAAGGAAAATTTTTCATGTACGTCTTCAAATAACCAGGTATCCACAATGGAGATTAGTGGCATTGATCAATATTGATGGTTAATATTTTTCGATTTTACAAGATAAAATATTGTACCGCTCTGTATGCATAAGCCTAACATTATGAATGATTAGGCCCATATCAGAATTTTCGTCAAATTTGTTTAATCGACATAGTTTGAAAACGTCACTAAATTACAAACTGAATTTTTTTTTAATAGTCTGTTTCCAGCGAGTCGTTTTGGTCAAACCAAACGAAAATTAAAATGTGTTCTAATTCCTGAAAACTGTTATTTGACAAAAGATTTGGTGTATTACACTAGTTAAACTTCTCTATGAAGCGACTTCATGAATTAATTCATGAAGAAATTCACAATGTGAAACAGCTATTAAACATGAATCGGACAATACATCAAATTGTGTTATTAACACCTATATCTATTTTAATATAATTTGAAATCTTGGAAGTGGAAAACAGAACAATTTGTAATTTTTGTAATAAATAAAAGTTAATTGAACAAAAATAGAACAGTTTGATTAAATCTGACTTAACATCATGTTTTGATCAAACGCTTTTGACGATGACAAATATTCAATTTGATAATGACAAATATTCAATTACATGTACCTTTATGGGTGTCGCCGGTATCGGCGGTATGCCGGCCATCGAAATTCATACTCGAAAGACAGCGTCTCAGTAATCTCAAAACGGGAATGAATTTTACTTGAATAGAAATTTATTATTTTGACGTTGATAATCATGTTTAAAATTGAAATATTAAATGTGCAGCAAAATAATATATGTTTTCAAGTGAAAATTATTTCTTTTGAGTGTACTGAGAAAGAGGGAGAATCACCAATGGTCCTGCTCGCTCCCTAACAAAGGGAATAACAAAGCCAGTCTAAAGTATGTTTAGTACCTACTAGCAATACTGAATCATGACGAACTAACCCCCTCATCCTCCTTTCCCCCTCCACCCCCTTAAATGCCGGGAAAACCATCGCTTATTAGAGGAATCTTTAAAGAGCTTAGAGATGTGAAAGACATTCAATTCCTACGAATCTTACATATGAAGAGTTTTTTGGGTCACTGATCACGAACCTGGACTCTAAATCACGAAATTCAAAATGGCGGATTCAATATGGTGGACAAAAAAATTTAAATGTCTAAAATGTATGAATTTTGTGTAGTAGGGTTTTTTGGGTCTCTGATTACGAATCTGAAGGCAGAATTACGAAATTCAAAATGACATATCCATTAATTCCAAAAAAATAAGTGTGTCATCTCATTTAAGGTGGTGGAGGGGGAAAGGAGGGTGAGCGGGTTGGTCCGTTTAGGGTGGAAACAATTCAGTATTGCTAGTAGGTACTAAAAATTTTTTTTTCAATTTTTCCAGCCAAAAATAAATTAGGCCAAAAACCGGCCTTGGAGGCCCTCCTCCTTTCGAAGGCAACGCTGATTTGAGTCGATATTTACAAATTTCTCTTTATTCTTCTTAGTATTATCTTCTCCTTAACTCAACTCAAGATTCTCGATTTTAGTTGTTTCCATATTATTTTAATTAGAAGTTACCTTGTGAAATATGTTTTTGTAAAGAAAAACAAAACATTACCTAATTCCTCCTTGAGCACTTTCACTGGCATTAGCGCCGTACAAAAGAAGTAATTTTGCAATATGTAAGTGCCCTCTTGAACAAGCTTCATGAAGTGGTGTGTAACCAGCGTTGTCCTTTGGAGACGGTTGACAATCCATTTTTTCCAAGCAGTAGGCGGTGACATCCTGAAATTAGAAAAGAAGAGTGAGTATAGCTTAATTGTAACCTTTCAAAAGTATTACCGTGTATCCTAATCTAGCAGATCTGTGCAGATGAGTTTCACCTATTCCTTTGTTCAAAACCCATGTCTTAATTTCTTTCTGAATATCATCAACTGACTCGAGAGTTTTTGATAAAACGTTCTTCTTCTTTTTCTTCTCCCCACAATCATTTTCCACGACTTCTTTTTTAACTTTTTTCTTTTTTCTTATGTAATCAAATCCTGAACTCAACTTTCTCCGCATTTTGCCAAATTTTCCACGTCGTTTTCCTGATACACTTCCGTCATCTCCGTCTATGGATGGTGTCTCAGATTTATCGTCAGGATCTCGCTTGATTATAACGTCGTCTAAGCTTCTTGTCTCATCCTCAATCTCATCTTGAATCTCCATTTTAATCTTCTTATCGGCTATGTTTTTCAGCAAACTGTTCTTTTCTTTTTTCTTGCCCTTATTTAATAATTTATGTTTCAACATTTGTTTGGTGTCTGCAACCTCATTTTCTTTGTCCGCTTTATTCAAATTTTCAACTTCACTTTGCTTTTCTATTATGTCATTTTGTTTCTCTAATTTTACTATTAAATTGCCTATGCAGCTGCTTTCCTCTATAGTAGTTTCTTCCTTTATCTGAATATCATTAACACAGGTAACTGGAGGTGCAGAAGCTGGTCTATCTTCACCAAATACCTCTTTAATCGTAGCTCTTTGCTTAAGGACTCTAGTTTCCTTTCTTGTGCGAGATTTTAAAACAACGGTCGTGAACTGTTCATTCACCCCTACGATATTGTTAGCATTTTTTATAAAAGCGTCTTTGAAGTTATTTATAGTTGTTCTCCTGAAACCCAGCAAAGCCGATTCAGACTTTATCACAGGAGCAGCCAACTTTTTCACCTCTTTGCCACTTTCCTTCTTTATTTCCAAACCGGGAGTTGGTAAAAGCTCAACAGAATTTTCAGCTTTAGGTATGATTTTAGGACTGTGATCTTCCTTTCTTTTAATTTTCCTCTTCTTTTTACCTCCATATTTTTCTAATAACTTATCTATAATTGACATTTCCTTTGCAGTATTAGGTAAACTTCTAATCGATGCACTACCCTCGGAATCATAATTTGTTTTCTTGTTGAACAAAGTTAAACTAGAATTTGATTCATTATCACTATCTAAAGGTTCCGACTTAATCTTCTTTAACTTAGTTTTACCAGTGTTTTCTTTTTCGCCATCAGCGACTATTGACGTAGTAGGAGATTGTGGACATGGATCTAGATCTGGCAAAGATGTAGACAGTCTGTGAAACTGTGGAGGCCTAGAAACTTGAATGAGAGTTGGAGGCATCCGCAATGATTTTTTGTATTTATAAACCCCTTCCTCCCATCCAGGATAAAAGTCAGAGCCATCTCCAAAGGAAGGTTTTTTGGCAGGTCGAATAATGGGGAGAATATCATTTGATTTTTGTGGAGAATCGTTTTCTTTCTTCTCTTCTTTGCATTCCTTCAACACTTCTGATGTTTTGGGCAAATTCAAAGGCTTAATGTCGATATTTTTACTACTCTGATTATAATTTTTCTTTGTTTCAGTCTCACTGTCACTACTATCACTTGAAGAAACAAGCCTTCTTCTCACATTCTCTTTATTGTTAACAAAAATAGGATCTTCTTTCTTAATCGGGCTATCAGTGTTTGATTTAGAATCAGTTTCAATTTGTTGCTTAAGCTCACTTTCAGGTGTTGAAGTTATTTTTGATTCTGTTGAGGAAGGAACATCACTATTTTCTTCTTTTATTTTAATTGGTAGAACCTGTGGACTACTTTCAAGTTTATTAAAATCTTTAATCTCTTCTTTTACTTCTGCAGCTTCAGGCTTAATATTCTCCAGAGGTTTAGCAAACGGTTCTAATTTAGCAAGTACCTCAGGTTCCAAAGGCTTTTTTCTTTTAATTTTTTTCTTCACCGCACCACTTTTTAATTGTTCTACAAAATTATCACAGAGTTTAGCAAAAACCTCATCAGATGGACTTACAAGTCCTGGAGATTCCACCTTAATTTCAATACTGTTTATGGGCGTAGATTGTTTTAAAGAAGACTTTCTGCCTTTCCTCATTGCTTCAAGAGATTCTCTTCCATTCATATCTGTTTCTGAATCAGAATCAGGAAAGTCGAAAACTGATGTTTCAGAAGAACTTCGAAGTCCCGATTTGTCTCTTGGGGGTACAGAGTTGTTGCTAGGATCCTCTTCATTTCTACTGAACAATCTCTTTCTAGGAGCAAAAGCAGTCAGCCGATCTTTTGACATCTTTGGAGGACTTGAACTTGTTGTGGTTCCACTGCTTGCACAATATGCTGAGCTCTGTGATGTATCCTGTCTCATAGGAGATTTAAGTTGATTTTCTATAATACCTTGCAGCCTTGATTCTGTTATAGAACTATTGTTATTACTAATATTTTGATTAGTGGGTCCTCCTTGTTTTAATTCTCCTTTGGTTCGAATTCTAGCTGCTAAAAATGCAGCAAGGCCATCATAATCAGAATTAGAAGCAGTATGATTTGTTATCACAGTATCTAAAATTTGTTTTTCTATTGCAGGATTTTGATTTTTATTAATTTCAAAATTGACTGAATCAATTGCTTTAGGAATATGAAATTTATTATATATTGACGCCATGTTGCTATTGTCTGGGAAACTAGTAGGGGTAAACGGAGAAACGTTGTTCCTTCCAATGACTCCTGGTTTTGGCTGAAGAGGGGCTGTGACATCTGTAGATGGGTGTTGGATATCAGACCTAGGATGTTGTGTATAATTTTCATGTGATTTAAGTTGTTCAAATACTTTCTTCTGTCCTTTCATTTCCAAGCTATTTTTAAGTAAATCTATCACTCTTTTGTCTACTGCTCCACCCAAATGGTTCTTGGTATTGGACACTGCACTAGTCAAAGATGAGTTGGAATTTGATCTTGATGTAGCATTCAAAGATGCCGCATTTGGAATTTGTGGTTGCTGGTTCGTGAGTCCGGCATAACCAGGATATTGATGTGTAGCTGGAGAAGGAACATAAGTTTGACTGTGATTAGGCTGAGTATGATAACGGCTCTGTGCCTGACTATAGGAAGCATGCTGGGCTATATTTTCGTAATTGGGTTTCTGGTACATCGGATATACATCCTTCGGTTTGTCTTGACTAATGGAAGTGTAAGAGCCATTGATTATTGAAGGTTTTGATGTTGCAACTGAAAGTTTTGCTTGTTGCTGTTGTTTATAACTCAACAACCGTTCTTCAATCTGCATATCTATTGATTCTCGCCAGTGATCAGTGATCAATTTTGGAAATTTATTAGGAACTATCTGAGGTGCCACGTCAGCTGGACGTTTTTTCTGCAGGTCCTGTGATGGAACGGCATACACAGAATTTGTTTTGTGGTTTGGCGTTGGGAAATCAGTTCTGGAGACACTAGTCGACTGCTGATTTTTGAAGGGTACTTCCTGAGCTTGAATGTAGGAATTGACATGAGCAGCAGATGGAATGGAGACAGTAGGATATCGGTTAGTATTATTCATTGGATAGGGAACATTTTTATTATTATATACAGCTCTTCCACTAGAATGAGCTTTCTCTGGCATGACACTTCTTTTAGGATCCTCAGTTGAACGTTTAATGTGTTTTGGTGGCTGATTCAAAGAGGGTACGTTAAAATTAGGACGAAATTCCACTTTCGGTGCCGTGGCACTTGGCATCTGCGCAGAGGACCGCTGTGTTAAATTTTTTTGAAAAGAATTAACATCAAGCTGTGGGTAGTTATGTGTAGATATAGACGAATGGGCAGTTCTATTTCCTAAATAATACTTAATTCTAGCTTCGCTTTCCGTATCTCCTAAAGTAGAATCTGCAGGAGTTCTAACTGTTTTTACAGACAAATCAAGAGGGGACTCTCGTTTAGTGATTAACTTTCCATTCAAGTTGGGATCAACGGAATTGTGTTGTTGTTGATTTGAAGCAACTGTAGAAGACTGACACCTTGGTATATTTTGTGAATTTGATTTTGCTGAATGATAATTTAGTTGGCTGGAAGACTGGGTGGTTTGGGTTGGAGGAACAGGATAATAGTTGGAGCTATTAGTGGCAGTTGTCATAATAACATGGGTATAGCTTTGCGTCGTAACAGTCACTGGATACTGATACTGACTGTGATGCTGTTGAGGCTGCGATGTGTAAGGGCGGTAACTTTGATGGTAATTTGAAATCGATGTAGATAACGATGCATTTGGAAGAGATCTAGCTGGAGTTTGTTGTATAATGGAAGAATTACTAGTTGCTACCGAATTTTGTTGGCTGGTATTTGCAGTGTACGAACTAGAAGAAAACGGCCTCGTTCGAGAATTACTAATAGTAGGTCTAGTAGGCTCTCTAGTACCTCGACTGGAATGGTAATTGGACAACGCGGCTATTGGCGGTAAATTATGAGTTGTTCTAATACCCCCTTGCTCTGCACTCTCATTTGAAACATTCGCTGTTTGACTATTTTGATGCTGATGTTGACGACTTAGTTCTGAAATTTGTGTGTTACTCGGCCTCGTGTTCGAGTAAACATTTTGATGAGGCATTTGACTCTCAGCCGAATAAATTTGTTTGTAATAAGCATTTTGTTGTTGTTGTTGCGATACCACGGGATACGAATGACTCGACATAGTTGTTTTATACGTGTTACTGCTTGGCATGGGTTTTGCCTGAGATTGGACAGAATAATAGGAATGGGATTGGGAATAGTTATTGTAGCTTTCTGTAGCTTGCGGATAGGGTATCTGTGAATTACTTTGTTCCCGCGAAGGAGTCCGAGGAATTAATTGTTCTCGAGAAGGAACTCTGGGAATCGCCTGATCCCTTGAAGGAACTCTAGGCACCACTTGTTCCCTGGATGGAGCTCGAGGAAGCTGAGGAGAAGGTGTTTGATGATAAGGCGAAGGTATCTGATAATAAGGCGAACTAGTGGGGACGTGTGACTGGTATTGTGGATGGTTTGACTGCTGTGGTCGTGGAAACTGGAAAGACTGCTGTTGATGTTGCTGCTGATGCTGGTGCTGTTGTTGCTGGTGCTGTTGTTGCTGTTGCTGTTGTTGCTGATGCTGTTGCTGCTGCTGATGTTGCTGCTGCTGATGGTGTTGCTGGTGCTGCTGCTGTTGGTGCTGCTGCTGCTGGTGCTGCTGCTGCTGGTGCTGCTGCTGCTGCTGTTGAGCTGTCGTATACTGTTCTTGGTAGGATCCAGGATAGTGAATCCTGCTCTGTTCCACATTCGGATTATACTGCGAGTGTGATGGAGGCCTGGAGGAGTCAGAGCTGTGTGATGACGGTCTCTGCACGGGCGTGTGTTCTCTAGTTGGTGGCCTTGCTGGTTCGGTTGGCTGAGGGGGCCAGTATGAATTCGAGGATGGGGGCATTTCTTGATTTTGTTCGTGGTCATTTCTACGGTGACCTTCCGTCGAATATGGGGGGCCCACCGTTGAGCTGGTGCCCGTTGGCAGCCCCTGAAAGTATTGTCGCGCCCCCTCCAATACGTTTGTAAACGTAACATCCATGACCTGCAGGTTAAACCTGCTTAGATCAGATCTGAAACAAGGAATTTTGAAAATATTTTGATAGAGTCATTTGTTTTATTCAATTAAGAGATTAATATATGTATTTCTAAATTATTTCAATGTTATTCTAAATGCATAACTCGTCCCAATGAAGGTGTATCTCCTTTGTTACAATTTTAATACAGCATTTTAACCTTTTTTTAAATTTTCAGAAATAAAAGCTTCTAAACAGAAAACTGTCACTATGAAACCATTTCTTTTTAAATATGGGTGATTTTATAAAAAATATATACTTAATTAAATTATTTATTAGGCTACAGTTCCTCGCTTTCTTGAAAAAAAGAAATGAAATACGCCTGTTAAAGCGCTAAATACAGCTGTGGATAATAAAAAGTTTCCCCACTTAAACTGCTTTAACATTTATAAAACAAGTTTTTTAAACATTTTAGATCGGTTAATCGAATAATTGAATTGGACAATGGATTGACAGTTTGTTAGTGTATTTGTTAAGTTTGATAAGTAATTTGATGCATAACGATTTTCTAAATGACTATTTTTGATTCAACCCTAGATATGTCTATTAGAAAAAATATTTTATTACTTTTCTGAGGTAGATCTTTGACCGTATGCGGATATTATCTAAAAGACAAAGTATTGAGCTATACCCCATAAGACAAAACACAAGATGGGTCAAAATGTATAATATAATGGATAATTTTATGATATTGGGGATGGATTAATTATTTTAGGGGTATTTCAGGCTCACAATCAGTTAGTAACAAAGTAATGTTACTTATTAGAGAATTGCAGGCGTTATAATAATTCATATAAATAGGAATACCTATGCTCCTCAAGTCCAAAAGTATTTGTAAAGTAGGTCAAGTTTAAGAGCATCAAAGTATCTAAAACTCAGTACAGAAATTAAATAAAAAGATAATAAAAACTGATAAATTTTATATAGCCGGATATATTCCGTAATATAAACAAGGTTTAGTGGTATTTATGGTTCAATCTGAGCGGGGGATAAAAGTAATAAACAAACAGGACTAACAGGAGGTATGTCTATGAGTCTGGAGTGTCTAGAAGAAAATGTTGCCAGATTATTATTATTTTAGGTTTTTCTTGAAGTATTATGCTCGTAGAAATAAATCATAAAATTGTACGAGGTATATATAATTCTTCCGTTTTCCCGAAAGGTTCTTACCATTTTTATACACGAGTTTTTGGGAGAAATTGTTACAACCTTTGTCCCGACATTATATTATTAGAACGTTGATTTGATTTTTTCGTTAATGGTCGAGGACCTTTCAAGCCGGATTCTTGTAAATCTCCGATGTAACGGAACCAGCAAAACTGCTCGTCATTATGGTCAGGTAAGTGAATCGAGCTCCTCTCACATTCCCCACCGTATTTACGGCATTCTTCGCCATCCAGTTAAGTTTCTCTGTTTTTGCACAGGTTCGTTTATACCACAATCCCTTTCTGTTGTCCCACGAATTTCGCCGGACGGCGAGTCAATGTTACGGGAAGTAAACAGTTAGTACACTTTGGGATTTTAAATCGCTCCTTCTGTAAAGAGCACACCCGTTTTAATGAGGTAGAGAGCGTGAAGGGGATTACGTAAGATCCGGCGAATTCGTCTACACGTAATTTTATTGTTTGGAATAATTAGTAGTTTCCTCTAGCTTGGTCGGCAAAAAAATTGTTGGATTCTTTTTATCTCGGACTGTGTCAGGATGAGAATATTGTGAGAAAGCACGTTTAAATTATGATCAAACTGTTCGTATAAATTATATAGGATGGAACCTTAGATATTACTAAAGTTAAGAAAAATCAGATATTTGATATTAATTTATTTTCGAGTTAAAGGCCAATATTAATTTTTTAAATGTTTTCGAACGTCTCTACCTCTAAATAAGTTAAAATTACAGTAATAATTGCGCTATACAAATACATCGTGCAGGGACGATTAATGGTATTATTTGTTAAAAAAAAATCATAATTATGAAACTACTAAATATGTATTTTTTAGGTAATAGGAAGATCAGTTATTCCGCAGCATAACCAGCAAATTCAGATGAGAAGCAATCGTAAGAGACGCATAGCAGACTACGCATTGTTTTCTGTCTGCAAAGACCTTCCACAACTCGCCAGCTATGTGTAAAACAGAGCCGTATTTAAAAATTTTACAATTTGGAAATTGTGTTTGATAAAATTCAGAATGAATTAAAACGGGTTCAAAAATACATTACATTTCAGAACGGTATAAATAACGGCTTGCACTGATCCCCTTTCTGCATCAGGACCTTCAAATATTGAAATATGATATACAATACAGATTGCGACAAACGTACAAGACCAATTCCTCTCGTCACAATAAATAAAAGAAAAAGACATAATAACGATTTTTTCTTAAATGATCCCTAAGGTCTCTATGATTCTTCAAAGAACTACTCAGGATCTATTAAAAACATAGACAACGAATTTGGTACAGTCCGTTAATATAGTTGGTATAGTTAATTAATAGTAGACTCACAAGTAAAATTTGATCAAAGGGGTTCGAAGGGTCCGAAGGATTGCAACTATAAAAAAAGTTATTTGGCATCTTAGATAATCTTCTTTTATAAATTTTAATATACCATTTCCAAATAACATTTTTGGTTCTCTTGTTTTTTTTTATGGAATAGCATGGGCGAAAATCAGAGTAACTTTAATTTTTGCACAAATTCGCATAGGCGGAACTATTTCACCCACCAACGTTAGATTTGACAAGTTGCACCTTTAATTATTGAAAACTTACAGCAAAATGATTGAGTCGCTGTTGACGAGCACCTAACTCTGACTTGGTTTTTGGACTTCTGTAGATATTTTTCGCTAAAAATATAAATATCGTGATATCAATTTACTTATAAAATAATAATTGCAACAATTACAAATAATCATAGTTTGTTATATGTGGCGATTCTACTGATGAATGATCTTGACTGTATATTAAATATCGTGGATATAATTCAATGCTGGACGGAACTTTTACCCGCAGAGTAGTTATTTCCCATAATATTATAAGTTAAAAACAATTAATTACCTTAGTTACTAACTCGGCTATTATTGAAATAAAAATACTATGGCTACACTGGCTATATACTCTCTGGCATCTTCATTGATAAATTCAGTTTCTGTCTCAAATTTTATTGAGAGCTGCGTTTTGATTTAGAGATCCCCATATAGTTTTATAGTTCTGTTCTTTATTCAGATCACATTAAATAAAATGGCATCATCTCCGCTCTGCTCCTGACCTTTGAAAAAAATGTATTCGATTTCGAATTCGACGGTCCCTTTTTTACGTTCCTATACGGTATCGAATCAGTTTAGCTACACAAGAAATAAGCCTAAATAAAGCGTCCGTCTATGAATTGGACCCCTTCATCTGTCTTCGGATTGAGTCAGTAAATCCAAGGGGTCAACCAACCGTTTACAAATTCAGGCCATCGATTTTCGTCGCCGCTCACGCAATAAAAGAAGTCGCTTTAAATTTCACCAGCAACTCGCCATTATAAGACGCCGGCCGATTTCGTTCACGAACGGCCAGTCAGACACATGTTAACAAAGGTTGCCAAAATGTGTTATGCATTGAGTGATTCATGGTGGCTGCCAACAATTATCGCGAGAGAAATAGAGATACAAACAAAGCCGGAGATAACATCTAAATATAGATACGTATTTTTATTTCGGGATGCAATTCAGTTATTTTCAAACAACTTGCTGTATCCTCTTCAAATTTATGAGTTAACCGCACATACAGCGATTTGTGTAAAAACTTATAGAACTAACTAAACAGAAACCTGTCGATTTATCGATAAACAGCTCCAGAAATATAAAAATATTATTGTAGTCAGTATATTATACCTACTTCTACCAACTGTATTTTCGCATCTCGATTTACTTGCTCTTTAAATATATTATTAAAATATTTAGAAAAAAGTAAATTGTTCATCTGGAATACAAAATACAATATAAAAAGTTTTACAGTTAAAATAAAATTAATCATACTCTTACCATTTGTCTTACACTAAACTAATTTCGCAATTGCAATTATCTGTCAATTAATTTAATCGATTTTTATATTGTGCCACCTATCTCACAATAAATTAATTTCTCAATTACAGTCGCCTATTAATTAATTAATTTTTATATTCTACCATCTACAGGGTCGGAAAGTACCCATGGTTCATCGGCCATTACGTGAGAGCGATAAAGAAAGTCATAGAAATCCGTGCGATAGAGAAAGATGGCTATAATGAAGACATCTAATAGTCACCGCCCATTTCGTCCTTCCACAAATACGATCCACTTCTTATTTGTGGAAGGGCGAAATGGGCGGTGACTATTAGACGCATTCATTATAGCCATCTTTCTTTATCGCACGGATTTCTATGACTTACTTTATCGCTCTCACGTAACGGCCGATGAACCATGGGGACTTTCCGACCCTGTATACACAGCCCCACAAAAAAAAAGTATTGGATCTGGTATTCAGACCCATGTACATATTTCCATGTATTTTTTCCGCTGAATCCGAATCTGCCTTCAGACTTGGCCCAACGGGTCTGAGTTTTCGGGAAAATTAAAAAAACAGGTCAAAATTCACAAAAAACGTCATTTACGATCGACGAAAGTAATAAAAAGTCAAATTATTCTACCAGCTCACTAGACGTATGATTTTTCACTCGTTTAATTCCAATTTATCATCATAGAGTTAGTCAAGCTGGTCCAATTTCAGTCAAAAACAGAAAACAGATCAAAAACTCCATTTTCATGGCATAATTCGTGTTGCAGAGTTCTGGATCCATCTTTTTATTCACCCACCCATTTATGAATTCATACATCTTTCTATCCAGTCGTTCATGCATGAATACGCATAGTTACCCATCCACCTGTACCACCTATAAAACCCACCCATCCACCCATCTATCCATCTACTTTTTGTACTGAGAGATGAGATAACAGCTTAGAAGATTGAGAATGCGATAA